ACCAGCAGGGCAGGGACCCCACGGAGCAGAGGGTGGCACAGCCCTGGCAGCCCATAGCCCGCCGGCCACTACCAGACCGGCCCTGGCCACTGCTGCCAGCCTGCCCACCCGCTGCCTCGGGGTGCTGCCCCGTCTACCCGTGGAGCACCGTTCCGACTCCCCCCATGCGACCAGTGTGAGAACCACAAACCAGACACAGACTGAGGCCTTTTGAAACAGGCTCGTGTTTCCTACAAGCTCCAGGCGAGCTCAGTCTCCAGTCCACAGCACCTCCCCGGCCAGCTGCCCCAACCCCACCAGGCTCCTGGCAGGCCCCTGCCCCCAAAACACCAGGGTGGGCACCCTCCTGGGGCAACCGAGCGAATGCAGTAGGGTAGCTGTGCCCATCCTGCCGGCAGTGGCCCCCGCCAGCCATGCTCTGCTTGGAGCAGTGCCCGGCCCGTGCTCTCGACAGCCAGGCAGTGTCCGGCAGCCTCTGAAATCTATCTGAGAACACAGGACTAATAAATTAGAAGGCAGCAGCCTTTTCAAGTCCGGCACCTCCTGCCCAGCACCCGCCTGCCTGCCACGGGCCCCTGGCCCAGCCTCTCCTGGGCTGTGCTGGTGCTGCTGGGCTCAGCGACTGCTCCCACGCTGCCCAGCCAGTCTGCTCCTCTCCCGCTCCAGGAGACGCTACCCCAGGCGGATGCGGAAAGTGGCGATTTCCATGGGATCCAGGTGGATGTTGGTGCTGTTGGAGGCTGTGCCCAGCGGGTACATCAAGGTCAGCGAGGTGGGCTGCAGGGAGCCCAGCTCCAGCCCCTGGAACAGGCTGCCCAGGGCCAGCTAGGGAGAGAGGAAGGAGAAGGGCGAGTGGCCCGGATGAGCGGGACATGGTGCATGGCAGTGCAGCACCGTGCACGGGGCAGCCCCACATGTGCCAACAATCGGTTCCCAGGTTCTCCGCAGACCCAGGGCACCACGCTGACCCAACCCCTCCTCGCTGGGGAATGCGGGGCTCATGCAAGGCTCCAGACCCCGTTCCTCATGAACCACCATCCTCCAGCTTTGCCTGGGCAAGGGGCAGAGCGGGGCTGCGTGCTGCACTGTGGGACTCATGACCAGCCACAAGTTCTGGGACACTGGTGCTGGGGGACCTGCTGGGGACCCTCCAGTCTCCATCCCGGCTTGGCATGAGCACAGGAGGCAGGCCTGGTGCCAGACGTGCCAGGGGCCACAGCCTGGCTTTGACCCAGCGGTGGGTGGAGGTGACAGCGCGGTCGGTCTTACCTTGCCCTGGCTGGTGGTGCAGTTAAAGCCCAGGTTCTTGGCCTCCAGGCTGCAGTCAAAGCCTTTGCGGTGCAGGATCAGGGCCGCCTCAGCAGAGGGAAGGGAGTCATCCTGCCGGGGAGCCGGGGTGTGAGGTGCAACGCTAGGGACAGCGGGTGCCAGACCCCCCATGACAGTCCTGCTGTCCCAGGCCGTGCCCGCCCCACTCACGGCGTGCAGCTCACCTCTGCCTGCAGCATCCGCAGGTTAAGGATGTGAAAGTCGCAGGGGAGGGTGGTGGAAAGGGGCACGAAGGAGCGCAGGGCTGGCGGGGCCGGCTTCTCCTGGGCCACGGGCATGACCAGGGCCTCG